GGTTACAATATAAAAAATTGTTTGTCATAATCATGTCTTGTGATTATTTGGGAGTTTTACTTTTAAACTGTAAGTGTATTTAATTTAGTTATAATGTAAATACAATAAAAATTAAACCAAGATTTAGAATAATTATCATTTTGATCCATACATTGGTAATGTCTGACTGGGCCTCGTGTCACTTTATGTTCAACAAATTGGGCCCTGAGGTCAAAAMGGTTAAGAACCCCTGTCTTAAAGAGTTTTCTGAAGCCCTTTTTTAGACAGTAGCTACAAAAACCATGATTTTTTTAGCAGCAATTTCTACATTTTTGTCATTTTCCCAACACGCTAGCAAAGCTTTTTTCTTTCATTTATTAAATTTTAATATCCAAATATTGTTTGTGGTTTCTGCTTTAAAATGACATCAAAAAGTGTCAATGGATTATCCTGATTCGGATGACCAATAAGTCATATCCCTGGATTCACTCTTGATATCAGGATGATCAGGGAACAAAATGTAGCTTAAAAGCAGGAATCTAAAGCTGTGCTGAGGTCATTTTGACCAAATTTGACYTAATCCACAGTTTGAGGTGTTGGATCACATTTATCCTCAAAAAGTATGCAGTGCACTGGTTCAAGGGAGGATCATTCTGTTGTACAACCATTCTCTTTAAATGAGAAGCAAAATATGTCAGCTGGACAAGACATGTATATTAGTTTCTATATGATGGGATATGGAGGTAGATGGTAATAAGCTGTGCAGAAAATGTGATGCCTAATGCAACAGGCCGTACTGTACCTTGAATACTACTGTCATAAAAAAAACTGTAAACATTAAACCTAACCATAACTGACTTTATCCTCCCACTCATACACGATCTATTTATATCTCRGCATCAAGCGCCGCTCAACAATCAAAGAATCCACAGCTAAGCTAAACCCTGCGGCTGGCTGGTGAGCCACGCAGCTGAGTGCAGAGGACGGTTATGTAAAAGGCTACRTGTTGTGCTGTGTTTGGCAGGAATGTGGACACCCTGATAGTCGACGTCTTCCCAGTGTTGGACACTCCAGCCAAACAGCTGATCTGGCAGTTTATCTACCAGCTCCTGACCTACGACGAACAGGAGCGCTGCCAGAGCAAGCTGTCGCGCTTCCTTGGTTTCAAGAGCAGCGGTGAGCCGGAACCCACCGTATGGCACACATCTGCACTGTGAAAACACTCAGAACACTGCACAAAATGATAAACAACATGATGCAATGTAAAAAATTAATTTTATGACACTGTTTATTTCCTCATTGGCCAGCTGGATTTATGTTGTTAAATCACTCAAGCTCACAAAATTGAAAGAAAATTAGCAAATTCTTAGTTAGAATCACACTGAGGGGGCATTTCCAGCACATAGGAAAGAAGGGCAAGTTTATGTATTTTGATGAAGTTGCGATGTGTCGTAATTATTATGGTTTCATGGGCCATCAGACACTCCCAAAGATGGCTCAGACCTCGCACTTCCTGACTCATGAAAACTAAACTGAGACTTTGTGATTGTTTTAAAGGAATATTTGTTTTGTAAGTTTTTTAGATATGTTCAAAATGATTTTGACACAAGACCCACCGAAGAATGTCAGGAATGCTTGCAAACATTTTGAGACAACTGGGAAATCTTAAACAGTTTGCCATTAGTAGTACGCCTGTCACGGTAACAAATTTTGCTAGATGATAAACTGTTTTGAAATGATAGTGATAAACAATAATACTGTTTGAAGATTGTTTTAAACTAATAAAATGAACCCCCCTGGGCTTACGAAGATTATGGAAGTTTATGAAATTTACGTACGTAAAACAAAGTTACAAACTGACCTGTACCAGAGTTTGTGAAAACAATACACAACATCAGCTACTGAAGCTGCAACATCACCCACCCCCCCCCAAATCACAATTTCCCCTGGCTTCATAATATAGTTGTGGTCACCCGCACACTGCTTAGGAAGTTCACTAAATTTACATAATGTAAAAAAAAAACAACAACTCTCAGCAAACCCAAGGTTTCAGGACGGTGCCCTGTCCTCAGGCGTTGCCAGCTGAGAGAGCACGTCGGAAAACCAAACCTCTGTTCACGAGGCTATCATGCTACAGAGGTTACAAGATCGTGCACCTGGCAAATAGCTAACGTAAGAGTTCACTCCTCCCTACGCTAAGGAGTAGAAAAGATGGAGACRTGAGGAAAACAAAGGAGCAGGCAAATGAAAATGATCAATGATTAATTGATTTATTGTTTATCACAACAGGCCTAGCCGTTAGTGTTTATTTCCAACAGTTGCAGTTTGACTCTGCTTGACTGAACGGCATTTTGAAATCTTTACTGGCTTTTACAGAATTATAGTTAAAGTTTATGTTTTTTATTTAAAATAAACATGTACTAGTATCAGTATCGTTCCAGCTGATAATGAAAAAAAAACTTCTAGATTGGGTATCGTGACAATGGACCAGATCCATAGGGGCAGATTTGTTCAGTCTAATTCAATGCTGAGCTCTATGAGTGACAAGATGTGCTATTGACACGCAGCGCAGAGGCTCACATTGTTTTTAATATGGAGTGAGCTAAAGAATCAGCTATCTGGAACTTTGTCACTCTACCTCAGCCAACACACAGGCTGATAATTAACCATCTGGAGCCATGCTATGACATAAAGCCAAAAATATTTGTCGGAGATGGCAATACCTGAACTGTGCACGGTAAAGTGTACAAAACACGTCAAAGGAGATAAAAAATGTTATTTTGAATAATTTGAAAGAGGGTTTGTTCCAATTTGTTTTTACTAGGTCATATTGTTTTGTACAATTTATTTATTTATTTATTTATTTATTTATTTATTTATTTATTTATTTATTTATTTATTTTTTAAAAATCCAGATATTTTGGGTCAACCATAGCACAGAAAAGGCTGAACCAATCAGCGTGAAATTTGGTAGGAGTGTAGATGTGGCTGACCTACACTGATTCAGCCAACGGTTTTACAATAGACTTAATATTTGAGGAGGGGCCTCCATCTGAAAAGGAGTGTCTGGACATCCAAAAAAGCTTCTAACTCAAAAACTATTCAACAGGTATTTTTTTTGTTTTTTAGCTCTGATGAAGAGCTATTCATCAGGCCCACCAAAGACCTGCAGTATCTAGTTTTAGCATGCTTCACTAAGCTTGTGAAGCTATTGGTTTATTTAGGATTGCTGTAGGCTACTGGTGCACAGTGATTAAATAAATTTGTAATTCAGTATATTTATGTCTATGTGTTTAAAAYATAGGAAAGGGATGTTTAAGTCAACTGATCACTGTTTTATTTACATATCGGGGATTAGATTGGTATCGACCGATACTAAACCTCAGATATCTGTATCGGAAGTGAAGAAAGTGGATCAGTGTGTACCTATTTTAAAGTCCTGTGACACTGACTGTGTGTGTGTGTGTGTGTGTGTGTGTGTGTGTGTGTGTGTGTGTGTGTGTGTGTGTGTGTGTGTGTGTGGGCGGGGTTTTGCAGTGGTGTTGGATCCTGATGGCGCTCCGGAGCTCCACAGACGAAGCAGCTCCATGCGTGTGACTGGGTCGTCGTACCGCAGCAGCATCCGAGAGAGGAGCTCCGACGACTGCATCATCGGGACTCATTTAGGAATGGGTACGCCACGTGAAACGATTCTGTGTGACGTCAAGTCCAACAACAAGAAGCTGGTTCACTTTGACCACGTCGTTCTCAGGGTTTCAGTTTTGACTTAAAGCTTTAAATTTCAATTCACCACCCAGGTGCTAAAAAAAAACAATGCAGTTGTACATTTTAAACATATATGTGGTCGCTGTGTGCTAATGGAAACATCCTCCCCGTGAATTCCGAGTATTGCGTCATGATTTCTTGTGAGCGAACCCCTGGGAGGGAAATAGGCACAGCAGGCGAGAAACATTAGCTTTTACTGACGTCCCACTGAGTGCAGCATCTGACCTCTGTAATAAAGCTGTATTTTCTCCAGTCAGCTCCCAGGTGAGGAGGTTTATAGAGGTTAAAACAGTCTGTTCTCTGTCTGCGTCATCGCCTCATACATTATCTCCATACACACAACTGAGCTGCCTCTGCTTTTAAGAAAACTTAGCTTGAAAGCACGAGGCTGTGGCAGGATTTGACTTTCATGATGTACCCAGTTCCCATTGCTAAATCTTGTTTAAAGGGGCAATATTATGTGTTTCTCAGGCATATATTTAAATACTATACCATAATAAAATATCTATGTCACCTTTAGCTGTTATTAAAATGCTGTTTTTATGTTTAAAAAAAAATAAACTTATCTTCTCATCAGTTCTAAACGCCTTGAAATTGGCCTCTGTCTCTTTAAGAACCTCCTTCTGTCTCACCCATATCAGTCCCGGGGGTGGGGGGGAGTCGCGCGG